GGCTGGGTTTCTCCCTGAGATAGGAGTGGCCCCTTTGGGAACTGTCTGCGGCTGCAGAATGCTCAGCTTTCATGCACTTTTCTTTGTTTTGTTTCAGTTTTACAGAGTTTTTGGATCCATTCCAGAGAGTCATCCAGCCAGAAGAGATCTGGCTCTATAAAAATCCTTTGGTGCAATCAGACAACATACCTACCCGCCTCATGTTTGTAAGTACCATGATTTCATGGCTGATTCGACTGCTCTTCCCAGTGTGGACCACATGGGTTTTTATCTTTACTTTTCCTACCCCTGCTGAAGATGGGAGGGAGCCTGAAAGAAAGAGAAGGGGAGCAGCCCGTCAAATTAAAATTCAATTCCAGATCTTGATGGGAGCTGCTTCGTCATGTGAGAAGTAGTAATTGTCCAACACTTTGGAAAGAGAGGGCCCAAGTTGTTCCCAAATATTAACAGTAAAGGAAGAGTAGAAGTCAGTGACAAGAGTTTCCTGTTCCCTCTCTTTTTAGGATAAGCCTGGATTTTGCCAAACTAAGGCACCACAGATAGCTCTCTTAACCAATTTTCTGGTTTTAGCTGGTAAATTGTTGACCACTGATAAGACCACCTTTTGGCTCAACCTTTGAATAGCGTCTTGTGTTTCTCTCCTGGTATAAATGGCCAAGCACCTAAATAGCTGGTGGATGTACTGGGATTCTCTCTACCGCCTCACCCTGCCGCATGGCAATTACAACCTTTTATGCTGCTTGTCCTATGTGCCGGGCACTTTGCTGAGAGCTTAAGGAAGGATTATCTTAATTGGTTACACCCAACATCCCGGTTAGGAAGATGTCATTATTGTGCACATTTTGCAGGTGCAGGACTGCATTCCAAGAGAGAGGGAATTTTCCTGAAGTCACACAGCTAGTGAGCTGCAGCTCCAGATCCAAGCAGCCAGCTCTGGAGCTCAGCTCTCAGCCAGGAGGCTAGTCTGTAGGTTTGGGAACAGAGTGTCTGGGATTCCTTGCTGATGCTAATTAATCCCTGGAGAATTGCCATCAAGCCTTTTTGTAGCAGAGGAAATATTTAAGCTCCCCTTTATTACAGAACAGTAACATAACTTTTGGATGGGCAGCCTTGTGGCTTGAAGGTTATTCCTGTTGACCTGCCTGCGATTTGTGCCTCTGGGAACTGAGGTTACACTAGGAATATTTTTGCATTTTTAAAGAAGTCTGATTTTATAGGGGAAATTTTGTTAATTAGTGATCATTGGAAAGATTTTTGTGTCTGTAAATTCTCCGAGATGCCCATAACAGCTCATGAGCATTAAAGTATTGTTGTAATTGATTTTTAATAATTACTTTTCTGTTGGAAAATAAACTGGATTTCTGTAAATCTCAGGGGAATTAAAAAATTAGGGTGGTTGTGAATAGGGCATTCCTGAATTTAAATCAGACATTTTTCATTTCCGCTGTAACTCAAATCTTTTATAGATCCTAGAAATAAAGGAATCAGTGTTACTTTGCCCCCCACGAATTTGTCACCCCACTTCCCCTGGGTGACAGAGCCACAAAGGATTACTCAAAGCTCATCTCTTCTGAGCAGTGAGAGACCCCGAAGTGGTTAATCTCTCCCGGAACCCTCAAGCGAGAGGCAT